TATTCCCAACCCCTCCAGTTTGTCTAGTAGCAATGGGATAGATACCGTATCAAAAGCTTTTGCTAAATCAAGGAAAATTCCCATTACTTGCTTACTTTGTCCAAGCTCTCCTGATACATAGTCAGTTAATGTATGTACTGCATCAGCTGTCGATAATTTGGCTCTAAAGCCGAATTGCTTGTTAGATATAAGGGAGTTATTTTCGAGATACGAGACTAGTCTATTATTTATAATTTTCTCAAGAACTTTAGAGATTGACGGCAATATAGAAATAGGCCGATAATTATTTACCAAGTCCTTTGTACCAGATTTATGGATAGGGATTACTACTGCTTTCTTGAGGCATTTAGGAAATGTACCACTAGAAAAGCAAATTTTAAAAATATGAGTTAGTGGCGGTATTAGTATGTTCCTAAAGGTTTTTAGTATATTAGTGCTGATATTATCCCACCCTGTCACAGGACTATTTTTTAAAGATATAATAATTCGTTCTACTTCACTTTCGTCCGGTTCTAGTAAAACAAAAGACTTTCCACTACCAATACATGGCCTCGGAGATGGTATCGTAGTATTGAGGTCATTATAACACTGTCTTTGAATGTTTTCCGCTAGCCTCACACCAATATTAGCAAAGAAACTATTTGCGTTGTTAGCTGATGATAGCGGGGTTTGATCCGTTTGCAATAAATCAGTGTCACAATTATTTTGCTTCGTCATGAATGTGACTGACTTAATATATTTCCACAGTTGTTTGGGATTGTTTCCGGATTGAGCTATTTGTGATTTGTCGTATTCATTTTTTATACGTTTTAAGAGGTTATTGCAGAAATTACGATATCTTTTATATGTTGTCTGGATAATTAAGTTATTAGGGTTTTGTTTGGCTTTTCTGTGTAGTCTATCGCGGTGTCGTATACACCTGACAAGTCCCTCCGTTATCCACGGTTTTATGGTGCAATTTTTCTTACTTAAGGTTATTGTGTTAGTATTATTTAAGATAGATAGTTGTACATGTTTAATAACATAATCCATTGATTCGTCAGCATCAGCAGAATCAAAAACTGGACTAAAGTCAATATTGCATAAATCACGTCCCAGATTAATCATATTGAGTCGCGATTTTTGCTGCGGACGCGAAAAATGTTGAGTCCGATTTAATTCAAGCGTAAGCAAAATTGCGGAATGGTCTGTGATTGTTGAGTTAGTAACAAGTGTTAAACACGGAAGTCTAGTTTTTAGCATGACGTGATCCAAACATGACCCACTTTGATGAGTTGGAAATGTGTGTGAAGGTAAAATGCCATGATATGCACAAAGGTTTAGGTAGTCTTGAGTACCTGCGTCAATGTTATCAGAATTTATATTAATATTTAGGTCGCCAATTATGATGACAGTTGGAAAGGATGACAAATTTTGTAGAATATTATCTAATGACTTATTAAATTTATCTAAATTTCTGATGGAAGGAGATCTATAGATTGACACGATTGCTATTTCAGAGCCTATTTTAATAATAATACAATTAAATTCCAGGTTTGTTGGCTCTTCGATCGAAAAATGGAGAGATTGTTTTGTATATATTACGATTCCATCATTCTGGTTAAAATTTAGTGTAGAGCTAATGTAATTGTAACCTGGTAATATAGGCATAATCCCATTTTTATTTGAAAGCCAACATTCTGTTAGTACAATGATATCGCACTGTGACTTTAATCTTTGCAGAAAGATACTTAGACTATCAATGTTTTTATATATGCTGCGAATATTTTGAGTTAGTATTGTTAAAGGACTTTTGAAATCGGCGAGATAATGTCTGCATTTTTCTGTTTCAGAAACTTTTGAGTAATATACTGCATTGTCATCGAGATCATTAATCAATTGATTAGCCATATAAATTACAAAAATATTAATCAATCAATAGAAAATAAAATTAAACTATCTAAATATTACTAGTGCTACTGATAATATAAAAGGTGGCGCTCTTAGGCGCCCTCATTATAGTCAATAGAGTTAATGTACCTCGTTTCTGCTGTCTTCTTTGCCGGGCATTCAAGGTCCCCAGTTTTGTGACTGCTTGGCTTTTTGAACCGGGAGCATGTTGCACATTTTGGCGGCTTGTCCTTCTTAGTGCAGTCTTTAGTCTCATGCCCTTGTTCTCCACAATGTCCGCATGTGCATGTAACTTCGCGACAAGTTTTTGCAGCATGCCCATATTGCTGACATTTAAAGCATCGGGTTACGAGAGTGAAGTCACGTACAGGGCAGGAAGTCCAGTTGATATAGATTCTCTCCTGATTTATGAGAGCTTTCCTTACATTGGCTGGGACTTCTATTATAAAGTTGCATGTGGGCGCGTCTTTTTTCCCTGACTTGTGGCTTAACTTGATGCAAGACAGGAATGATTCTCGCGACATATTAGGCATCTTATCGGCCAGGTTCTGCTCGTAAATTGAATCGAACACCTCTTGGTCTCGAAGAGCTGCGGGCACGCCGACTACTATTATTCGCGGCCTTCTTTTGTGAGGTTCTTCGACTTTCAGGCCTGAACTGGTCAGCTGGCTTGATCGACGGAGTTTTTCAATGTCCTCGTTTGATTCGGTGCTAATTATTACACCTCCGTTCCTTGTTTTTCTCATACCCCTAACGTGCAATTTCATTTGCTCTGGATTAATAATCTTTTGCACGAGCGTTTTGGTTTCGTCACTGGATTTTAGTGCATCGTTCGGATAAATTGCGATTGACTTCAAATTAGAGGGTCGCAGGACACTTGATTTGTTCGTCTTTAATATATCAGCAAAGGACATATTTTGAGCCACAGGTTTACTGCAATTTTCTTGGATTGACTCCTTAATTGACTTTTTAAAGTCGTTCAGGCAAGCAGCAAGGTCCTCCTTTTCTCTTAAGGCTTCCAGAGATGTTTTTATCTGGCAAGCCCTTTGTTTTAAGGTCTGATAGTGGATCGCCATTTGGGAGACTCCATTTCCGACCCTTCGTGCCAGAGTGTTAATATTAAGTTTTTGCTCAGAGTTCAACTTACCCTCTGCAGCAATCTGGCACACATCATTGAGAGCCTTTTCTATTGTCACCATCCAACCCTTAATGTCACTGGTCGAGAGTGCTTCCAAGGTCTCTTCGGCGGCATGTTCTGCGGGTTGCGGAGTGCTGGGAGGGCTGCGACACGTTTTCGAACTCCGATTGAAAGGGCTATTTTCTATGTTAGCCATTGTTTGCGTTTAATTATGTAACATAGTGTATTACAAACTAAACAAAATTTACTAAATGTTGTATAATCTAGGTCAATACTTTATTGACTAAATGTTTACATGAATAAAAATAAATATTGCAATTCAGGCACGTCTACTCGCCGTCGTGGTCTCGTAGAGAATGATAGCCAGCGGCGCCAGCATAGGATCAAAACGTGTAGACGATTCATCGCTCTTTAATCTGTGAATATCTATTGTTACCTGTCACTACTTAGTATCTTATGGTATCTTACTGATAATTACGACTACACCTACACGCAAAGAGTATTAGTATAGGGGAAACTACTCGGTTGGCGTGGTGCAAAAAGTATAAAGTATAATAGTACAGTAAGTAAGTATAGTGGTGGCTGCGCAACCGGTAGCAACAACGCTCAACGTCGCGCAACGTGTAGCGGTCAACTCTTTGAGTGATCCACAAATAAATTGTTGTTTCGGGTCTGGGCGTCATGTGCATGTGAAATTGTATGTTTGCAAACGCATCCACGACACAGGAGAAAATCCTAGTGTGGGGCAACTGTAAAAAAACTTAGCATTATGCATTATAACATTATAACCGATCGCAAAGCTGAAAGATAAATTGAAAAAACGTGATGATTCTTTATGTGGAAAGCTTGTTGAAAGGTACCTAATTTGTTTTCGTTATTATTTTACCTACCTATGCGCTCTTAGCGAATATATCGCTAAGTAATAATTTGATCTTAAATATATCAGGTATCCTTTTGAAGCAATTAGTTATTGTAATAAATTAGAATAGAATGTAACATTATTGTGGGTTGGCGTTATACCGAAGACCAAAATTTTAATTTTGACCGTGTAGAAGGCGTTCCTTCGTTTGATGATGATTATCCAAAGATGCAATTCCATTTGTAGTCCGGTAGTAGATAAAAGAATATGGCGGTCACCTGGAAAGCTTTACGGGAGTTTTGAAATTTGTAGATTTTGATGTGCTCTTTTCGATTTCTATTTTGCACCTTTGTACGGGCGCCGCTCGCGCCACCATCTCGGAAAGATGGCGGCCAAAAACAGTTTTTTTTTTACAATATCTCTTTTCTGTGCATTTTACGAGAAAACCGTTAACTACAAAATTAAACTATTCACAATTTTCTACAACCCCTTTTTTCGCGCCAGAGCACCTTAAAGTACATTTCCACACCACGTGAAAGTAGAGATAGCGGCGCATTTTTTTTATAGTGTCGTCGTTTAAAGGCCTATTCCTCATGAATGTGGTTGCGAACTTTTTTAAAATAAAAAACTTACCATAATTTACCACCGATAGCCGTTTTTGATGAACCGCACATAGAATATTTTGTCTTGGGCACCCATCGATATGTCATAGTCGTTATTTTTTAAACGAAAATGCTTGTCATGAATCTGCAGAAGTGCATCACAAATAATCCGGGTAAAATTTTGATTATCGACTTTTCGATCGGTACTCAAGGGTCCATTAAAATTACCAAATTACTGAACTATTTCGCAAATATCGAAAAATCACTACCTACCTGGATAGGTTGGTGTGCGCACTACCCGCGCTCTATTTACTATTTACCAGACATGGGTACACCGCATAACTAATTATTAATTTATTTATTTATTCAGATAATACAATCCATATGGTTAGTAAAGACATCTACAACTTATAAACTAGTATTAGTACATCAAACCTCATCATATAAAATTAATTAATAATTTGTCATATGTAATATAATGATAATATAGTAACAATACTGCTGACTTTCACTACTTCTGGGCACGGTTTGTAGGCAACACTTGCGTCTTCGTCCAGTGTTTTAGCATAAGGCCATCAGTCCTATCCGCCACGGTCATCAGAAGACTGTTGGCGCTGCCCCGCACCCGCTGCATCAGGGAGGCGACACGCTTTCTTATGATTGCGTAGAAATCATCTATGCGTGCATCAGCGAACATCCCCGATGCGCTACAGTGTCGAGGCAGCCTCAACAGTGCCCTGTACGCGTTATTATATTGGACTCGCAAGGCGCTGTAAGCCCCCTGCGTGTAGTCGACCCATAGGCTGCAGGTATAAAAAGATTGACAATATGCCCTGAAAAGTGTAGCCTTCACATCATGAGAACACTTTGCAAACCTGCGGATCAACATATTGCTCCTGACTGACAGCGCCCTACGTTCCCTCTCCATGTCTTTACTATCAGTCTGTGTGTCAGTGACCCAGTGTCCCAGATACTTGAAAGAAGTGACCCATTCCAAAGCAGTCCCCGCAAGTGCAACGGGTGGTATATCATAAGTTTTAGTACCTGCCCTGAAGAGTAGACACTCGCTCTTCCTTGCATTATATCTAAGACCCTGGGCCTCGGCATATCGCTCACACACCGACAACAGCGTCCTGAGGGCGCTGATCAATGGGGCCAGAAGCACCATATCATCGGCATAACTAATGTTGTTGACATTGAACAACCTACCATAGTGCTGCAGAGCTAATGACCACTAACACCATTTTAGGATTCCATAAATCGTTTTCAGCTTAATATAACTCAATAAACCTTAAAAATTCCTCAGTACATGACCATAATTTGAAAACGCTGAAAATGACTAGTAATACATATTACTAGTAACGCTGAAAATAACTAGTAATTCATATTACTAGTAATTCATATTACTAGTAATTCATATTACTAGTAATTCATATTACTAGTAATTTTCAGCGTTTTCAAATTATGATGCGAAATAGAGCACGCATGCACATGCGGTCGTAAGTCTTTAAAACTTCCCCTATACTTATTTTACTCTTTGGTTCACATCTGCGCCGAAACCACTGATACCATACTGATACCGAAACACATGTGGACAGAACGCTGGCCGTCCGCGCCAAAACCCTTTGATCCACACAAACCAACAACAAACGGATTCAAGGCGTCTATTCCATGCCATGTTATGGGACCATCGATGCTAGCGCTACTTTGACAGTTGCAAAATGTCAACACTGTCATGTGTCAACCGCATTGTCAATGTCAACCGCGGAGTTATTGTATTTTGTGTCGATCTTGAAAACAATAATGTGAACGAGAATAAAAAAGTATACTGTAATTGTAAATAAAGGAATTGATTACAAACCTTCTAGCTGATGTGTGTTCATCGCTGCTCTAAACCTGTTCATTTGTAAAGGTATGAAAATTAAATAAATAAAATAAATTATACCAGTAGCGAACTAATAAAGTTACATACTCTAACTATTTATAATTTGTTACCGCTTCGAATAAATAAAAAAAGTGGAACGATTTTTCTACAATAGGTTGTTTAAACACAATATGTATTGATGAACGTTATTTCACTAATTAACATATTTTTTATAACACAAACAGTGCAACTGTAGTGTAGCAGTGTAATATGATTGTCTGAGATTATCGCACGGTTTATTATGGTGGCCAATGTGGTAGGTATTAATAGGTATAAATTATAATTATCCTTTAAATATTACCCAACCTGCCCTATTATCAGTAAGAATTATGTGTAATTACTTTATCTAAATATATCATAGGAACAATGCACAAGAAGCTCAAGGTATCTTTTTGTAATCTACTGAATAAGAATTTGTGTCCAAATTTAAAACTAAACTGACAAAACTACAGTGTAGTATATTGCTCTAGTGTACACAGTATTCATAACGAAGCAAGCCTGGTCAATGGTAACAACCACTTCATAGCTTTTGCAATTTTAAAAAGGGAATTCTGAATAATCTGTGGCATCAACTTACTGATTTGGCTATGGTCAACTTGCCGAAACACTTTGTAGGAGCTTTAACTCGTTGAGTACCGTCATTATAGACACAATTAAAGAACAATAGGTTGCGGTCACCGGTGACCACTCAGTGTTTGACAGTTTAATATACTATACTGCTACCTTATATTTTATAATTCTTCATACTGTGACAATACAAAATGGTTACATACTCATTATGTAGTTATAGGTACTCATCTCAAAATGTACAATGTCAGTTTACCAACCTACCATTGTTTATTTACTGTTGTTTTGTATTAAAATTAAATTATGTGTAAGAGTTAAACAAATATTGAATTCAGAATACCTATTTATACTACTATGTACTTATCATATTAACAACAAGTGTCTTTCTTTACTCACACAAAGTTGAAAATTACTAAATAAAGCCAAGAATCATCAATATAATACTTTTTCAAGATTGTTTAAATGTTTCATTTATTTTAATCTTCAATAAATTGATTAATTTTTTATTTAACTCGTTGAACTGACTCTTACACAGAATTTAAAAGTAATTAAAATATTACTATGTTTTCAGGATCTTTTGAATTTTTAATAAGGAAGTAGTTTTAACTCGTCGAGTACCGGTTTTGTAGACACAATTATAGAACAATAGGTTGCGGTCACCGGTGACCGCTTGGTGTTTGACAGTTTAATAAACAAGGTGTGTGACATGTCTTATTCTTATTTAACTCGTCGAGTACCATCATTATAGACACAATTATAGAACAATAGGTTGCGGTCACCGGTGACCGCTTGGTGTTTGACAGTTTAAGTACTACTAGGTTCTGCCAGTGGCTTCATTCACATTCCCAGGGGTAAAAAGCCTATGTTACTCCAGACCATAATGTAATTTAATAAATAAAATGTTTATTTGGTGTAAAAAGCCAGATTACAAAATAAATCTTAAAATCTAAACAAAGTCTAAAAATATGTGAAACCTGAAGTAGGTCCAAGCCTGTGTTTCAGGTTAAAAATGTACTGAAATATTTAAAATACAATAATATTGCTTATAAAACTAAAAATTTTATGTCTAAATTAAAATAAGCTAGTCTCTAAGTATAACAGGTGCACGTGTACAGTTTCATAAACAAATGTAAGCAAAAATAACTAAGTCAACTATAATAAAATTATTTGCTTACTTCAAGTAATTACTCGGTTTGATTGGTGTTATGTAATAGTTTTTTACAGTGAAAGTGATTGAGACTATAAATACTTCTCTATTTATTCTATTGTATAAAAATGGGCCAAGAAAGATAAAGAATCTTTTTATAAAAGCGTGTTTTGACACTGAGGTTGAAGTGCAAACTATATTATTATCATTCCGCCTTTTGTTAGTAAGATTATTAATATTGAAGCTGAGTAGTGAATGTTGTTTGAGTATTAGCTGTACTACATAGATTTGGCGAACAGTTAAAACTTTGCAGGATCTATATAGCATCGATGTAGGAAAGAGAAAGGGATGGGAAAATGCAACTTTTAGGATGGCTCTCTGAGCACATTCTAGAGGGAGTATAATAGTTATTGATGCGCCACCCCAAGAAGTAACACAGTACTGGATAATTGACTGACATAACGCTAGGTAGATTTGAGTGATTAGTTTAACATCTCCGATTTGTCAATTTTTTTTTTAAATGTACATCAATTTCCTTACCCGTGCAACCAAAGCGTTGATGTGTTGTTTGAAACAGAGTGTTTCATCAATTGTGATGTCTAGATATCTGATGGAAGTACTTTTTGCAAGTAGCATGTGCCCACTGGACTAATTCTACATTTATGTGTGTATAATTGGATGAAAAAATGAGGGCCGTGTCGTCAGCGTATGAGTTAGTTTCCCATGAATCATGATGCATCTCTATGTTACATAAATCGTTGATATATATCAAAAATAGGGTAGGACCAAAAATACTCCCTTGAGGCACTCCAAAACCCGTATTTTTCTGGAATGGGCTTGTGACGTCATCTATTCTAACACACTGGTAACGGTCATCTAGATAATCAGCAAAGAGGTTCAGTTGTGTGCCTCTGATACCCATACATTCCATCTTCTTTAGAAGCAGTAGAATAGGCACAGTATCAAAAGCTTTGGCAAGATCAATAAAAATTCCTAGACCGTGGTTACCTTTGCCGAGTTCTTCTGATATGAAATCTGTGAGTATATGTACTGCATCAGCTGTTGACAATTTTGCTCTAAAACCAAATTGCAGTGGTGACAAGAATTTATTCATTTCTAGGTAATTTACCAATCTGATGTTAATAATCTTCTCAAGAATTTTAAATATCGATGGCAGTAGTGAGATAGGCCTATAATTATTAACTAGATACTTGTCACCTGATTTGAATATAGAGACAACCACTGCCCTTTTAAGACATTTTGTAAAAATGTCTTTAGAGAGACACTCTCGAAAAACATGAGTCAGAGGTGGGACAAAAATTTGCTAATATGTTTTCTAGATCCATGACAACCAGTTGCACAATTTTCTTTCATTTCAGTTATGATTCGTGCAATTTCCTGTTCGTCTGTATCTAATAAAATGAATGATTTTTCAGTATTTGAG